GGTAAAGTTAATTGGAGGTTAACACTACCATGCGTAGATTCTTGGAAACCGAAAGTCATTTTCACGAAATATACAGAAGCTCTAAATGTTTTTGAAGGTATGGTATAAGGCTTCAAAACTATTTGTTTTATCTCAAAAAAACAAGATTTGCTATATTTGGATTAGTTACTAGTACCTAATACAGTTCATTTTCGTCTACGATGTGGAAAAACTTGCTAGTGGGTCTGCTACGATGTACAATGTAGATGACACTATCTTTTTGTTTCCATCTGTTAAGTGTGTGAGGATGACATGTCCTTTGACGGATCCTGCTATCATGATGGACATGACAGAGATGAGGCACAGTTGATCTGCCAGCAAGGTGGTGGCAGTTTGGCCATCGTATCTTCCGAAGAAGAATATGTGAGTGTAACACAAATATTGTCTTTAAAGTATTGATCGCAACATACTATGCGGTACAGTTGGACCAGCTCTGCTGCACAAAACATCGCAGTATTATTACTTTTGAATCTTACCTGTCATCTTTAAAGGTAGAATTGTGGCTTGTCATAGACAACCAAACTTACATGCTAAGATATTGCAACGGGCCAGATGCCAATATTGTCTCTGCGACAGGTTTCGAATTGATGGCCTTGTCATCCACTTGACAATCTGTTTAAGCTATTTAACAATACAATTGTTCTTTCTGTAGGACTTCATGGTGGCTAACTTTGGAGATGATACATTCTATGTGGGAGCCCAATGGAATGGCAACGAGTGGGTTTGGGACGATGGAACCACTATAGATCCGAACATTCTGCCATTGCTGTAAGATTGTCATTTCTCAAAAACCTTTTTAATTCAAATCTGTTAAGTCTTCCGGATGGCTTGTCATCATCTGTCAATAAAACTTACAGAGGCTAGGATATTTTTGTTAGAAAAAAATTTAAACCCTTGAACAGAAATCAATATCAAACAAATCAAATATCAAATCTAATCACATTTGCAACACACTTGAAGTTACATGTTACCAGTGGTTCTCAATTTCTATTTAGCCGTATCAGACATTTTGTAATACTAAAATTAGGATCCACTGAAATTACTACTATCGTTCACATCATTTAAAGCATTTTCACACAGTGTTTTTTTCAGTAATTTGCCTGATGGCGATGCTGATAATAGCTGCCTAATGATGGATGCCGGCGTTTTGACACCCACGTCTTGTGATATTGCAATGGGATTCCTTTGTGAGACACCTGAGACACCTGAGACACCCGGAGGTAGGAACAAACGTCAAGCAAACTAAACGAGTTTTAAAAAGCTGCAAGTCAGTGTTTGTTTTTATTCACAGCTAGATGTATTGGCAATATGCAGAATAAGAATAGACAATAACTATTCTTTTATGATTGTTTATTGCCTAGAAATAAGAGATTATAGTTTAGTTCCAGTGGGAATTAGTAATTATAGCAACATTCCAAAGACGTAGACTAGTGTGGTTGTGGTTCATTATATATTGACGACAATGTAGTACGATGTTTAAAATTAGTCAAGTACAAGGTATTTACTTGGATGATATTTCAGTATCAATAGCAGTGTACTTTCAATTTATGTGTAAAATACTTTTAAATTGATACACCAATATGTCCGATGGACAGAGTAACCTTTGACATTTTGTCTTGCCTTGCGTTCTCCTCTTATTGCGGTACAGTATCTTGAGAAAAAGGGCTGACCTAGGCTTAACCCAAGCAATCTTTACTCTTGTATATACATTGTATAGATATGATTTTAAACACCATTGCAGTACACTTTGGAACTGCGGGGGCGTTTTGGTATGATGAAAATTATAACTGAAGCTGTGTGCCTGCGAAGCTGGTCTGTTACGCCGAAGGGCGGTTATCCCGGCTCTGCAATTACAGATACTGAAGTAATGATGGATTCCCGATAGGATTGGTATCCAGTCACCTTAGCAGAGATGCAAAACATTAAATGAAACTTTATGCAAATAGTGTTTCTATAATATGCATTCTACACATATAAAGGGAACATAAACAAAAAATGTCAACCAGAGCCTCATTTACATAATGCGAAAGTGACTTCATTCATTAGTGACAATTAATACTGTGAGACAAGCTAAAGGTGAAGCTATTTGTAGGCAAACGCTACCATACGTACATTCCTCGAAAATAAAAGTCATTTCGCGAAATATACAAAAGCTCTTTCATTAAAAAATGTTTTAATGAAAGTATGGTATGAGGCGCTAAAACTCTATTTGTTTTATCTCAAAACAAGATTCGCTATATTATGATTAGCTTGATTATAATAGATAGAAAGTTGTCTAATACAGTTCTTTTCGCCTACAATGTGCAAAACTTGCTAGTGGGTCTGATACGACTGTAGATGACACTGTCTCTCTGTTTCAATCTGTTAAGTGTGTGAAGATGATGATGACATGTACTACGACGGATCCTGCTATCATACTGGTTCTGATAGGGATGAGGCACAGTTGATCTGCCTACAAGGTGGTGGCAGTTTGGCAATTGTATCTTCCGAAGAAGAGTATGTGAGTAAAAAAATTAATATTGCCTTTAAAGTATTGATCGCAACATACTATGAGGTACAGTTTGACCAGGTTATGAGTTTAATTGCATAACAACGCATCGCATGGGTTACATTGTTATGTTGCGTGATAACTTAAAGGGGTTCTCTTCAGATCATTATATAAAGAAAAAAAGGACTTTAAGGTAATGTATATTTTCGTTTTTCTAATAGTCTATTGGGAAAAGAAATTGAATCTGAACCTCGGAAAGGTTTAAATTTAAAAGACATCGGCATTGCTTGATCCATAGATTTGCCCAGACAGAGATTTTTTCCGACATTGATATTTGTAGTTTCCATTGCTGCATATTAGAACGACCAACCTCTGGTTTTCGTACAAACTATGTCTTTATTTTCTTATCCTAAATGAACACCACTGCTGCTGCCAAAACGCTTTGAAAATTACCGTTAACAATGATTGCGTGTATTACAACATATAAGGGACTGCTGAAAGTCAAAATCACTGTTTGCTCTGGTACACATGGTGCACCAAACATCACCTTATTATTACTTTTGAATCTTACCTGTCACCTTTGAAGGTAGAATTGGGCCTTGTCATTACTACATGCAACCAAACTTGTATGCTAACACACTGCAACAAGTTGGCTGTCATGATCGGCGCTGCATCTGGTTTCGAATTGATGGTCTTGACATCAAATCACCAATCTGTTGACGCTATTTGTTGATTCAATTGTCCTATCTGTAGGATTTCATGGTGGAGAACTTTGGAGCTGGTACATTCTATGTGGGAGCCAAATGGGATGTGAATAACAACGAGTGGGTTTGGGACGATGGAAGTACTCTGGAACCGGGCGTTGTGGCATTGCTGTAAGATCGTCATTTCTCAGGAACCTTTTTAATTTCAAATCTGTTAAGTCTTTCGGGTAGCTTGCCATCATCTGCCAATAAAAATAAAAGAGATCATGAAAAGAAATCAATATTAGACATCAAAGCAAATCTAATCACATTTACAACACACGGTTTCCTTACTTTGAGTTACATTGTTAAATGTAAATTGTTAAATATACCCCTAATTACCCCTCAATTTCTATTAAGCCGTACAAGACATTTTGTAATGCTGAAATTAGAATCCACTGAAAATATCGTTCACATATTTTTAGGTCATTTTCACACAGTGTTTTTTTTTCAGTGATTTGCCTGCTGGTGATGCTACTAATTCCTGCCTAATGATGGATGACGGCGTTTTTACAGCCACTTCTTGTGATATTGCAATGGGATTCCTTTGTGAGACGCCCACAGGTAGGAACAGACAGCAAGCAAGCTTTTTAAGCTGCAATTCAGTTTTTTTCAATGCTAAATTTATTGCCAAGATGCATGCAGAATAAAAAAAAGACACCACCTATTGTTTGATGATTGTTAATTGCCCAGGAATAAGTGATTATAGTTCAGTTCAAGTGGAAATTTTCGATAGTACCATGTGATTGTTGTTCATTATATATTAATGGCAGTGTATTTAAGTACAATGTTTGATATTAGACAAGTGCAAGGTATACACTTTGATGGTAGTTCAGTACCAAGAGCGGCCCAATATGGTGGGTAGTCTTATAGAGGTTCTTATGTCATCCCTTACCAGAAACAGTATCTGAGGCTGCCTAAGTACCGTATATGAAGATAACAAAATGATCTTTAAGTACCGGAAATACTATGCGATTGCAATCTAGTATCAGAAAGTATAGAACAGCACTTGATTATTACGTGTGGGGATGTAGTTTTTATTCACTTACTTCATTGATGCCTGTTTTCGAAGACTATACCCCTGTTTAGCTATACCTACTGCCGGTACATTTCAGGCGAAAATTCTATTTATTTGTTTTCCATAATATGCCTTCAATACAAACATAACAATACAAACAAACATACAAAATATTGAAATGTTTTATGAAGGTGTGGAATGAGGCTTCAAAACTCTATTTGTTTTATCTCAATACAAGATTTGCTATACTTGAATTAGCTTAACTATAATTGCAAGTTGCCTAATGCGGTTCATCTTCGCCAACAATTTGGAAAACTTGTTAGTGGGTCTGCTACGATGTAGATGACACTGTCCTTTTGTTTCCATCTGTTAAGTGTGTGAGGATGACATGTCCTTTGACGGATCCTGCTATCATGATGGACATGACAGGGATGAGGCACAGTTGATCTGCCAGCAAGGTGGTGGCAGTTTGGCCATCGTATCTTCCCAAGCAGACTATGTGAGTGTAACACAAATATTGTCTTTAAAGTATTGATCGCAACATACTATGCGGTACAGTTTGACCAAACATCGCAGTATCATTACTTTTGAATCTTACCTGTTATCTTTAAAGGTAGAATTGTGGCTTGTCATAGACAACCAAACTTACATGCTAAGATATTGCAACGGGCCAGATGCCAATATTGTCTCTGCAACAGGTTTCGAATTGATGGCCTTGTCATCAACTTGACAATCTGTTTAAGCTATTCATTAATACAATTGTTCTATCTGTAGGACTTCATGGTGGCCAACTTTGGAGATGATACATTCTATGTGGGAGCCCAATGGAATGGCAACGAGTGGGTTTGGGACGATGGAACCACTATAGATCCGACCATTCTGCCATTGCTGTAAGATTGTCATTTCTCAAAAACCTTTTTAATTTCAAATCTGTTAAGTCTTCCGGATGGCTTGTCATCATCTGTCAATAAAACTTACAGAGGCTAGGATATTTTGGTTAAGAAAAAATTTAAACCCTAGAACAGAAATCAATATCAAACAAATCAAATATCAAATCTAATCACATTTGCAACACGCTTGAAGTTACATGTTACCTATGGTTCTCAATTTCTATTAAGCCGTATCAGACATTTTGTAATACTAAAATTAGAATCCACTGAAATTACTACTATCGTTCACATCATTTAAGGCATTGTCACACTTTTTTTCAGTAATTTGCCTGATGGCGATGCTGATAATAGCTGCCTAATGATGGATGCCGGTGTTTTGACACCCACGTCTTGTGATATTGCAATGGGATTCCTTTGTGAGACACCTGAGACACCCGGAGGTAGGAACAAACGTCAAGCAAACTAAACGAGTTTTAAAAAGCTGCAAGTCAGTGTTTCTTTTATTCACAGCTATTGGCAAAATGTATGCAGAATAAGAATAGACAATAACTATTCTTTTATGATTGTTTATTGCCTAGAAATAAGAGATTATAGTTCAGTTCCAGTGGTAATTAGTAGTTATAGCAACATTCCGAAGACTAGTGTGGTTGTGGTTCTTTATATATTTACGACAGTTTGCTTAAGTACAATGGTTAATATTAGTCAAGTACAAGGTATTTACTTTGATGATATTTCAGTATCAAGAGCAGGCCAATATGGTGGTTCATTACAGGTGTTTTAATCTCAGGGTTTTTAGGCCATTCATTACCAGACACAGTATCTAAAGGTGCGTAAGTAACCAAATGAAGATCGATAATTACATGGTCCTTTAGTACCGGAAATACTACCGGAAATTTTTAACTAGAGAAAAAGGGCTGACCTAGGCTTTACCCAAGCAATCTTTTAATAAAGATGATTTTAAACACCATAGCACGGAACTGCGGGGCGTTTTGGTATGATGAACCTTGAAAAGTATAACTAAAGCTGTAGTAGACGGGGCAAAATAATTAGTATCAGGGTCATGTGATCTGTCTGTTTAGCTGACGATAAAAGAGCTAGATGTAAACCATTAAATGAAACTTGATACAAATAGTGTTTCAATAATAGGCATTCTACACATACATAGGGAACATAAACAGATGTTATATATGTCAACCAGAGCCTTATCAACATAATTCGAAAATGTCTTCATTCATTAGTTTCAAAGGTACTACTGTGAGATAAGCTAAAGGTAAAGTTATTTAAAGGAAAACGATTCCATCTGTAGATTATTTGAAAATAAAAGTCATTTCGCGACATCTACAAAAGCTTTAAATGTTTTAATGAAAGTATGGTATGAGGCGCTAAAACTCTTTGTTTTATCTCAAAACAACATTTGCTATACTAGGGTAAGCTTGAATTGATAAATTGTATGTTGTCTAATACAATTCTTTTCGCCTACGATGTGGAAAACTTGTAAGTGGGTCTGCTACGACTGCAGATGACACTGTCTTTCTGTTTCCATCTGTTAAGTGTGTGAGGATGATGATGACATGTACTACGACGGATCCTGCTATCATACTGGTTCTGATAGGGATGAGGCACAGTTGATCTGCCTACAAGGTGGTGGCAGTTTGGCAATTGTATCTTCCGAAGAAGAATATGTGAGTGTGACATAAATATTGCCTTTAAAGTATTGATCGCAACATACGATGAGGTACAGTTTGGCCAGCCTATGAGTTTAATTGTATAACAATGCATCGCATCGATTACATTGTTGTGTTGCGTCATAACTTAAAGGGGTTCTTTTCAGATCATTTTATAAAGAAGAGAAAAAAAGATATGACTTTTAGGTAGTACATATTTTTGTTTTCCTAATAGACAACTGTAAAATGAAATTGAATATGAACCTCGACAAGGCTTGAATTTCATAAACTTCGGCATAGTTTGATCCATGGATTTGCCTAGACAGAGATTTTAAGGGCTTGTCATCTTAACAGTCAACCAAACTTTCTGCTAACATGCTGCAACAGGTTAGCTGCCATGATCGGCGCTGCAACAGGTTTCGACCAATCTGTTGAAGCTATTTATTGATACAATTGTTCTGTCTGTAGGATTTCATGGTGGAGAACTTTGGAGCTGGTACATTCTATGTCGGGGGCCAAGTGGGATGAGAATAACAACGAGTGGGTCTGGGACGATGGAAGCACTCTGGAACCGAACGTTTTGGCATTGCTGTAAGATCGTCATTTCTCAGGAACCTTTTTAATTTCAAATCTGTTA